ACACACACACACACACACACACACACACACACACACACACACACACAAACTTTCAAGCACCCAGCAGTGTTGCTCCTTATGAGGGTTCTTCCTGGCCAGTATCCTGTCCCACGTTGTCTAGAAAAGCTGACAGGCAAGGCTTCCGGGTCCAACAAAGGGGCCGCCCCTTTGAGACTTCCAAAAACTTCCTCCCCTCCCACTTTTGGGAAAAGGAAAAGGCTGAGAACTTCAAGTGATGCATCTGCTGCAGTGTCGTACCCCCTCCTCCTCCCCTGCTGGTAGCTCTGGGCTAGGGAGTGGTTTGGCTTTCCTGACTGCCTGAAATGTTACCTTGCTCCTGCAGCTGGTGGCAGAGGGAAAGGCAAGCCAGCAAGGTCAGAGCTGTTGCCACTCGGCTCCCTGCCAGCCCACATCTCATCCCCTGCCTGGAATCTCCAACAGCTTTTGAGGCTCACCTGCCGGGAGGCGCGGGGACCAGGAAGCACGAGGCTACTCTGCCTGTATTGCCCAGAGCAATCACCCCTCCCTCGCTGAACAAGCATTTAGGCAGTTGTTGGGGGCGGAGCTTCATTTGTTCAACTTCTACCTATCCCACCATTAGGCACCACAAAAAAAGGAGGTTAAAAGAGGTCCATGGGCTGATGGTGGTATGGCTGATGGTGGGGAAGGAAGATCTGTACTAGCGAGGCTTGACTGCCTTTTGGGCCCTGCTCTGGACTGCCGTCTGCTCGACCACCACCCTGCCTTGGGTCCGGCATCAGCCCATGACAAGGGGACATGCCGCTTCCAGGCTGGCAGATGGGCAAGCAGACGACCCTCGGGAGAGGCATTTTCTCTCAGGCCTCCCACATGGAAGGCCCCACGGAAGCTGAAGCTGGGCCTGAAAGGCAGTCTTGCCTCATCATGCCCGCCCCCAGGCAGCCCTTTGGCTGATCACAGCAAACCCGGTGTGGATCTTCCTTCCCTGCCATCAACATTAGGGCTTGATCACAGCATTCTCACAGTGGCTGCCTGCACTTGCCCAAAGCGCACAAGTTGACAGGCGGGAGAGGAAGGGGCAATGCAGGCAGCATAGCATCATGCTCCCTGGTTGCCAGCTGAGCCCGTGAACAGTGGGGGGTGCCAAGATCCGGGAATGGGGGTGCTAATGTGACTAGCAGGCTTACCTGTGAGCAGCAGGCAGATCAGGGCTGCTCAGCTGAAACGCAGGCACCATGTCGGAAGGCTAGAATGGCAAGCCACGAGGACCCAGCATGCCTCATAGGAGGGGAGGAGTGACTGGGCAGGGCGAGAGGCACAAGCGAGCATTGGGCGAGCTGTGCGAGTGAGCATCGGGTGGGTGGAGCAACTGAGCGACCGGTGACCAGGGAACTGGTTCGAGGGCATGGCCAGCCATAAGTCGCTATCGGTTCCATGACTCACACCAAATTCTTGCTACTGGGTTGCCAGAACCGGTGCGAACTGGCTGAATACTACCTCTGATATGCACCCTTTTCCTCTATAAGCATTTCAAATGATCTAATTGATCTTATCACAAGTTTTTCAACCATTATAATGTTTCTCATTTGCAATCCATTAGAAAGAAGAGATATTTCAGTTAGGACATCAATCATCAAGGCCAAATCAGTGAGAAAATATATGTTTTCAAGATGGGCAGCCATATCAGAGTATTTTTTATTTGAACAGAAAAACTGGTGTAGCACTGGATAACCCACCCCACAGCTAGGGTTGATCTTAAACTACAGGCAGCCCATTTTAGTCCAAAAACTCTACCAATTTTTATAATTTCAATCTCAAGTTGTTCGGAAATTTTGTTAAGTTCAATTAGGTTCTTATTTGATTGATGGACAATAGAATATATTTTATCAATAAAAGTTTGAAAATGAGTGATTTGCTTTATTTCCCTAATAGAATCATCTAAAACAAGTTGCAGATGAGGGTTTAAACAGTGCCATATTATAATATTTGGAAACTCTTTGGCTATCCTAGTGCTTACCCCAAATTTTCTCCCAAGCATAACACTGGCTCCATCAGAGCAAAATCCAATTAAATGTTTCTCCAGATAGTTCCTATTAAACCCAACTTTATTCAAACTTTCTATAACTTAACAACATATCGTCTCTACATCTTGTTTATCTAATTCTACTAGTTCAAGGAAAATTGTTGGTGAGAAAACTGGATCCTCAACTTTTAAGTACAGTATAAGAACTGGTTTGGAAAATATTGTTGAGGCTTCGTCAATTATCAAACAGATTTTGCGAGTTTTCTCAATAATTTTGCTAAATAAATGTTTCCTGATGTCTTTTACAATGAAATCTACTATTGCAACTGCAGTTTTACATGAATGCAACCCTGTTCCCAAATCTAAACCATTTGTTATTTGTAATTCAATCAGATCTTTTATATATGAAAATGGTCTGCACGTTTGTGCCAGACTGTACACTCTACATGTACTACCCAGATATTTCTCAGTCATCTTCTCCAGTCCTTTGTTTATGACATCCTGCTCACATTGTTTCAACTTCTCTGTACAGATGTTGTGAGTCTTAGATGATAAATGTTCCTTCAATTTCTTTCTGAGAGAAGCTTATTGTATTTCTTTACTCTTTCCTGATGGTTCAGTTTGGTAATTCTTCCACTCCTTAGCTCTGTGGACACTTTTTTCTGATTAGAAAAGAAAGTATGCAAACCCAGTGTCCTTTTAAAGATAATAATGATGGATTGAGTAAAAAGATGGCTATTCCTTCATATCCTAAAGCTCTACATCCCCTCCCCCAGAGACTACTGTCTTGTGATCTCCTTGAGTGTACGGAGCATATGTGAGTTATCTCAAATGCTCTCAATCAAAAAGAGACGATTGATTAGTTGGCTGTTCATTCCACCAGTCATTGGCTGCACTTTCAACAGAGTTGTCTTCAGTTAGCTATTTCTTCCCCCAGAATCAGCATAGAGATTGCTTACTTTTAGCTGTAGATTCTGGATTTGTCAAAATTAGTTTTATATATATACAGTCATTGACAATGGTTTACAGAACAGCAATTTTCTTAGGAAGTATTGTCATTAGAGAATTAAAAAGAGAGTTATTTTCTTCTGATTGGGAAAGGAAGATTGCAATACCTCACAAATTGTCAATCTGAGTTTTTGAGTAACATGAATTGGACCACTTCAGTTAACAAGAGGAAGATGACAGTTTGAAAGCTGCTATCTTCTATAGTGAAAAAAAATAGCAATTTCATTTATAATCCTTTTGGTGCCTAATAAGACTGTTGCTGTTCAATTATTTAGTCACTCCTGACTCTGTAGAATTCAGTGGACATCATTTCAAAGCATTTCCTGTCAATAACTGGTTAACATAATAATAGAGTTGGAAGCAGAGGTGGTATTCAGCAGGTTCTGACCAGTTCTGGAGAACCGGTAGTGGAAATTTTGAGTAGTTCATAGAACTGGCAAACACCACCTCTGACTGGAGATTTTACATATCCTTCCCCTGCCATGCCCACCAAGCTAGTAGTACAGAACTGGTAGAAAAAGTTTTTTGAATCCCACCACCAGTTGGAAGGGATCTTGGAAGTCTAGTCCAATATCCTGCTCAAGCAGAAGACCATATACCATCTCAGACAAGTGGTTGTCTGCTCTCTTCTTAAAACTTGCCTTCAGAAATTGTGAATACTCCATCAACTGGATTCTTCCTGGTGCTTCTGTTTCCTTTGAATGCTAATATCTAACCAACAAATAATAACACATGAACAACTATAAATTAAGCACTAATGTTTCTTCAAATTTATGAGAGAGAGAGGGGAGAGGGGAGGGAAGGAGAGGAAGGGAGGGAGGGAGAGAGAGAGCACGCATGGGAAGGATGAAAGCCA